TCAATCCCCTTCTATTTTCATCACAGTCAGTTAATCATTAAAATACATAACTAAATTTGGGTATGTTTTCTAAATAAAATTATATTAAGAGCTGTCTTAAAAAGCTAAGCTCACTGTAATGTCTTTCTAAATAGCTTAAATCATTTAATATTTTTGGCTTTAATCAAATTAAAGAGAGCTCACCACATCAAACACAAATTAATTGTAGACAATAGTTCTTTTAAAAGTTTCAGTCACATATGACTAAATGATAGCAAGCCTATTAGGATCTATATTACTTGTAGCAAATACTAAAGTTAGATCTATATATTTTTTAATGGTAGAGTCAAAAAAGTTAGTAGCACAATCCATTCCATCAATATAACCTGCTTATTTTAAGTAATTAAAAATAGATGTGCTTTCACTTTGAGTAGTTATTAATTCTGTTGTTTCAAAAATAAAAGAGTTAGCATCTAATTAAAAGCACGATTAAATCACTATAGTTAAAAAACTCTTATTTCCTTCATTAGAATCTAAGCATTCTTTAGGAATATTTAACTAGAGCAAAGCCTACAAATTGGAATTACTTTAATCTGATCTATCAACAGTCATCCAAGAAGGTAAACTTTAAAGAACTAAATTTTAATAGTAATAAATCTAGCTAATAACTTAGTTAGGCTATCTGTAAAGAACAACAAATCTAACTAGATATTGCAATCCAACTTAAAATGGTTCAATATCTGAAATAGAAGTATATTCTAATGTTGAAATAGATTACACTTATCTCTCAACATGAATTTGTACTTAGCTTTATAAATTATAAAGACGGAATTAATGCTAATTCATAGAAAATAAGAATGAGAGCCCTGTTTTATCTGAATATTTAATTATAAAAATTTATAAGAAATTAAGTCTTGAAATAAAATTTATAATAGCCAAAAAATTATTTTTTTTATAAATTAAATGTAGTTTAAAATATTATCAATCCTCATTAATTAAAGTTCCTCCCACTCAATTTATAATTTTTTATTTTACACTATAATTTTTTTACCTATGCATGTTGCGATAGAATTTTAAGATGATATGATAGATTTCATAATTACTCTTAGGTTAGATTTATCTGTTAGATCTATCAAGGTTAAAGTACCCGAGTCCATTGTAGAAATTATTCCATATCTTTCATCATTTGTAAAAGAAATAAAATTTGTCCAGCCAGAGGAAATATAACTACCAATAACTACTATTTCAGGTAACTTAGTTGAATCTAGCAAAATCATACCATTAAATCCATCCAAAAAGTAAATTATTTAATTTACTTAAGAACGCAATAATGTTTCACCGCCATTCGTCCTCCATTAATTTACCATTTTAGGATTAGCCATATCAGAGGTGTCATAAATAAAAAGTCCAACATTTCTGACAACTGCAAGCGCATGTTTCTTATCATGTGATAAAACTGCTCCACAACAAGTTCCAATAATGCCTTAATTAGTGTACATAGAAATTACCTCAAATTTAATCATATCTACCAAAACTATTCCAACATCAAAGGACATTACAGCATGCTACTCATCTTCACTGAAATTCATCTCTTCACAATAGTAGACCTAATCGTAGTGTAGTCCTTTAACATATTCAAAAGAATATTCTCCATCAGGAGATATTATAACTTTAAACTTATAGGCTATTACATTTATAGTAGATTATTATGCAGCAAAGTAAATATATTAACCATCCTTAGAGAAATAAATATTATCAACATAGAATCCTAAAGGTATTGATTCATCTGGCCCAAATACTCTCAATTAATTAGTCCTTAAAATTTATTATTATGTATCAGAAAATTAATATTTGATCTGCATGGTCGATGGAGTTGATTTTGTGTATGAATTGACTTTTATTTCAAAAATTGAAAGTCCATCTGCATCTAAGCCTCCTAAGAAGTATTTATTATTTGAAGAAATAGCGCATCTCCATTTAGAAACTGCAGTTCCTTCAATAAAAAATTGTGATTGTTAAGCATTGAATAAATTTGGAATATTGTTAAAAAGGGAAGGTTTCTATTTTTCATAAATAGCCACTGATAAAGAATTAGAATAGTAAATAAATTGATTATCAAATGTTGTGTTAGAAATCACATTTTATTTCGGAGATAATGCTATAGAAAAAGATTATCCAGTTAATTAAAGCTGCTAAAAGAATTGTGGATTCAAAGGATCTTAGATATTATATATTAATATTCCCAATGATCTCGCTCCTACATATAAGAACTGGTCATCTAAACTCAAACCTATAGAAGAAGTGTATCCTAACGTGCTTCCTAGATTAGCAGGCACCATTTTAATTAATTCTTTTCAAATAAAAATGAAAAATATTAAGAATTGGAATACTTTTTTTTAGGCAGTTTATTTATTAAAATAATGAACTTTCTTTTTCTCATTAGAGTTTTTTCAAAAATTATGTATTAGTTTAATCAGCAGCCAATGTTATTTTTATTAAAGTTAATAAATTCTTAGTAATTAATTTCATTTACTTTTAATATATTTACTAATTTAAATAGAATTAGTAGATTAAAAATATTCTTTTCCATGAATTTTTAAAAAATTATTTTATTTTTAGAATAAAAAACCTTTAAATTTATTTTTTTTTCTTAATTGAATTGATATTAATGAAGATTTTTTATTTTTTTGTTGAATTTATGCATTACAGTTGTTTTGATTTTCTACATCATCACCATCTAGAATGAGCTAACTCAAATCATATATAATAAAAATGCCATTCCATCTATCAATAGCGAAGACATAATTGTTTTTGCTTGTAACTACTAATTCTGTAAAGCTTGTGGCTGCTAGTTTAGTTAAAATCTTAGTTAAATTGACTTAGAGCTGATTATTTTGCAGAGACTTATCTATCCTGAAGACAATCAATCCTTCGAAGTCAGCAGCAATATAAAAAAATCGATCATCAGGAGGCATCGCTCCTCGATCAAAGAGAATTTAATCTTAAGAATAATCTATAATTCCAAGCTATATAAGATTTGTTATGTTCCTCGAGTCGTACCATTTTAAAACGCCTAAATAACCAACAACAAACATGATTTCTTCTTCTAAATTAAATTAAATGTCTACTATGGTCATATTTTATACATTAATTGTATTAATTATCTTAATACTAAAGTCAATTTAGTCTAATTAGAAGATGCCTACTTGCCCAACCATTCCTAGAAAGATATACTAGCCATTTTTTGATATTTAAACGCATTAAATATAGCTTTTATCAGGAGATTAATGAATATGTGTATTAAATTTATTGTCAATTATCATGATTCCAGCCTTACCTAAAGCAACAATAGCTATTCCAGTTTATTAAGATACCTTTATCCTACTTGAAGTTCCATTAATGCTATGAACATCAAAAGATTTGTATGGAATTGAATTATAAACAAATCCTACTTGCTGGTTTTATCCAAAGACATAGGTTAAAATGAATTAAATAAATATGAAATTCACTCTCATTCCAATGATAATAAAAATTGATTAAATTGTTTAAATTGTTTTTTTTAATTACTGAATACATTATTTAATTTGTAATAAATAAATAAATTATAGTTCTACCTTATGAGAATAATTAGTTAAATATTCATTTTATTATAATTTCTTAAAACAAATTTTTAAAATAATAAAATAAATTATTTTTTATTCCTAAATTTTATAAAAACTTTTAAAAAAAAGCTAATTAATCCAAGTAAATTGTAAGTAAAACTGATTTAAATATATCAAAAATTAAATTGATAAAAAAATAAAATATTAAATACAATCGTTTATTATTAAATTCAATAAATAAATTTATTTAAAAATAAAAATTTTACTATCACTAACAAGCAATCAAATATTTTTAAAATAACAAATTGCTATAATAATATAAATTAAAGTATTTAATATAAGTAAAGAAAATTATATTTTTTAAAAGAAAAATATTTTTTATAAAATTCTATGAATATAAATCGACAAGAATTACAAAAATCATAAATAAATACTTATTAATATTTATTAAGAATAATCCCAAAAAAATTCATAGATTAATTAAAATGATTATATATTTTTATTAGTATTTTTTTATTTTTTCAAATCTAATTTTAATTTGAATGTTATTTATTTATTTGTTACTCAGAATAATCATAAAGCTCCTAGTTTAATTATTATTCATATAAATATTTAGATTATAATTCGTCTCTTTCAGAATCCTTTTATTTTTTTTTATCAAATTACTCTTATGATTAAATATCTGGAATTTATGTGTTTAATTTAAAGCTTTATAAAGGAGTGTTTCGTATAATACCTAGAGCTAAAGGAAAAATAGGAGGAGATGTTAATTCTTAATAATATTCAGTCATTGATCTAATTCCTGTGTAAGCTTTTTCTTCTATTTCATCTACATTTTCTTCTTATTCGTTTTTTAATTAATTTTATGTTTAGTTTTGTTAGTTTTTAATGGAATGGAGATCAACACTATTTTATTATTTTCTGAAATGTATTTGATGTAAACTTTCTTTAGAGTTATTTATGATATTATTTCCTAGTTAAGTTAATTTCATATTTTCTTATTGACTTTATATTTGTAGTCTTGCATCATTTTCTTTAATAAAATTACTTTCTTTTATTTAATTTTCTAATAAAGGAACTTCTACTTCATCTCTAGGTCTAGAGTCTCCAACTACATTCAAATGAAATTAGTAACATACAAATCTTGTTTAGTCATAGACTCTAATTAAAAAGTTATTAACATCAGATTTTATTGGAATACCCTCCAAAATTACAACACCATTTTTAAATTCATAAGACATCCAACTAGGTAGAGAAATGTACTTAGATATTGGAAGAGTTTTATATTGTAAATTAAATAGTTTCCTTAACCATAAGCAAACACCATCTTATATTTTCTCAAATGCTTCCACTGAAACAACTTAGTTTTTCTCTAAATGAATAGATTCTCCACAACATTTTATGATTGCTTTTGAGCTAATGAAATTTAATCCAAGAGCATCAGCAAACAAAACTTTATTAAATAAATATTTTATTTTTATTATCAGATTTAATTCAAAGTTTAATAAAAAAATAGATAAAATTATTAAATTTTTAGATATGTTTTTAAAAGTATAAATTCATGTTTTAAATGTGTTTTATTTTCAATAAAAATTAAAATTTTGTTAAAAAAAGAATGTTTTATTAGTTAAAAAAATGATTTATTATTTAGATTTTTAACTTTTATAATAAAGTGTTTGTAATATTACCCTCTTTAAGCAAGTAAGGATTGATATCAATTGATTAGAGATAGCTAAGCTGATAGTTCTCAAGATCTAAGTTTTTAGGAATAATTTCAAGGTCTTTTAGTACTTTAAAAATCTCATCTTCTATTAATGTTGTCTTTGAAAAAGGTACATGAACACCATATTGATCTAAGTCATTTGTGGCTGTAATTTGAACATATTATTTATACCAGTCATTTTATAGGTAGTTACCAGTTTCTAAAGAATATTTTTTAAGAAATTAGTAAAGTTTGAGAGTTTTCTTTTCTTTTTCCAATAAGTGTCTTAAGACATTTGCTTTTAGGCATTAATAAAATCTAGAGAATTCATTTTATAAATCTAAAGCATAATCTTCTATTTTATAGTCCAATAATTCATACTAAATTATTAATTTTTATTAAATCATTTAGTTAAATAAATTGTTCATTTAGAATGTGCCATCTTCTGTCTAAATTGTATAAATATTTAATACATTGTTTTTATTCTCTGCATTTCTAAAAATGCTACTTTATGAAAATTGCTCTGTTGATTGTTTTTTCTATCTAGTGTCTTATTATTAAATACTAAATCTAGTGTCATACTTATCCTTAAACTCCTTTTTCAGCTTTGAATTTTATTTGATTTTGCTATTTTATTTACTTTATGTTTCCTTTTAAACAATCTGTGAGCCATATTAAGATTATATTGTTTCATTGATTTACTTCTTGCTTTAGCTAAATGATTCATCTTAATTTACTAAATTTTTACTTTCAAATTATCTATTTTTATTTAAAACTCTTAAAATATTACTATTATTTTATGATATTTCTGATAATTATTTCTATTAAGGTAATTTTTTTAAATCTCCTTCTACTTGGTTAAATTTTTCTAAAGTTTAAATATTTTGCTAAGAATTTATTATTTTTTCACTCTTAGCACTTTCAAGATTCAAAATCGACTTTCTTAATTTATTAGCACCTTAATTTAGTTAGTTTTAATTGAAATTTTTCCCAGATTACTTCATAAATTTCTATAAAAATAAATAAGCGATTTCATAATCTTGATCTAAAATAAGTATTTTTTTCCTGTAGATTTAATTCACATAGGCTGTTTCTGTAGAGTACATAGTTTGATTTTTAAAATAAAGATTCATAAAAGATGCTCTTTTTTTATACAAACCAAAGGCAAAAGCTAGAGGACCAAGCACTTAAATTAGTATATTCAAAACATAGCTAAAAGGCATTTTGTTTATGTTAATATAAAAATAATCATATTTTGTTGTATAACCATTAGTTACTTGTAGTCTCAGATAAATTGTTGAGAATAAGTAGCTAGAAGGAGGATTACCTACTAAACGAAGGTTGACATTATCACATTTGATAAATGAATCTGAAGATATAGGCACAAATTAACCACTTATTTTTTATTAGAATTAATAAGATAAAGGAATTTAATCTGGATCAATAAATGAAGCAATATCAAATTATATCATAAAGGATTGTTCAATTGTTAAATCTGTTCCTTACTTATCCATTTGATCTTACAGTGTTTTTTGAGTTACAATATCTGATTTGAGTTTCAGAAATTTTACTTCGCTTTCTACATTCAAATTTAAGTTTAAATTATAATTAAAATTATCACTAATTGCAACCTAAATTTCTTTTAAAGAAGTGTAAGTTTAATTACTAAATTTGCTTTTATCGAAGTAGAGAATTCCATTGCTTAAAGCTTGATTTACATAGCTCAAATCCCCTTCTATTTTCATCACAGTCAGTTAATCATTAAAATACATAACTAAATTTGGGTATGTTTTCTAAATAAAATTATATTAAGAGCTGTCTTAAAAAGCTAAACTCACAGTAATGTCTTTTTAAATAGCTTAAATCATTTAACTTTTTTGACTTTAATCAAATTAAAGAGAGCTCACAACATCAAACACAAATTAATTGTAGACAATAGTTCTTTTAAAAGTTTCAGTCACATATGACTAAATGATAGCAAGCCTATTAGGATCTATATTACTTGTAGCAAATACTAAAGACAGATCTATATATTTTTTAATGGTAGAATCAAAAAAGTTAGTAGCACAATTTATACCATCAATATAACCAGATTATTTTAAATAATTAAAAATAGATGTGCTTTCGCTTAGAGTAGTTATTAACTCTGTTGTTTCAAAAATAAAAGAGTTAACATCTAATTAAAAGCATGATTAAATCACTATAGTTAAAAAACTCTTATTCCCAGCCTGTGAATCTAAGCATTCTTTTGGAATATTTAACTGGAGCAAAGCCTACAAATTGGAAGTGCTTTAATCTGATCTATCAACAGTCATCCAAGAAGGTAAACTTTAAAGTACTAAATTTTAATAATAGTAAATCTAACTAATAACTTAGTTAGGCTATCTGTATAGAACAACAAATCTAACTAGATATTGCAATCCAACTTAAAATGGATCAATATCTGAAATCGATGTATATTCTAATGTTGAAATAGATTACACTTATCTCTCAACATGAATTTGTACTTAGCTTTATAAATTATAAAGACGGAATTAATGCTAATTCATCGAAAATAAGAATGAGAGCCCTGTTTTATCTGAATATTTAATTATAAAAATTTATAAGAAAAAAAATCTTGAAATAAAATTTATAATAAGCAAAAATTATTATTTTTATAAATTAAATGTAGTTTAAAATATTATCAATCCTCATTAATTAAAGTTACTCCTACTCAATTTTATAATTATTAAAACGCAATAATTTTTTTTACCTACACATGTCGTAATTGAATTTTAAGATTATATGGTAGATTTCATAATTACTCTTAGGTTAGATTTATCTGTTAGGTCTATCAAGGTTAAAGTACCAGAGTCCATTGTAGAAATTATTCCATATCTTTCATCATTTGTGAAAGAAATAAAATTTGTCCAGCCAGAGGAGATATAACTACCAATAACTACTATTTCAGGTAACTTAGTAGAATCTAACAAAATTATACCATTAAATCCATCCAAAAAGTAAATTATTTAATTTACTTAAGAACGCAATAATGTTTCACCCCCATTCGTCCTCCATTAATTTACCATTTTAGGATTAGCCATATCAGAAGTGTCGTAAATAAAAAGTCCAACATTTCTGACAACTGCAAGCGCATGTTTCTTATCATGCGATAAAACAGCTCCACAACAAGTTCCAATAACGCCTTAATTAGTGTACATTGAAATTACCTCAAATTTAACCATATCTACCAAAACTATTCCAACATCAAAGGACATTACAGCATGCTACTCATCTTCACTGAAATTCATCTCTTCACAATAGTAGACCTAATCGTAGTGTAGTCCTTTAACATATTCAAAAGAATACTCTCCATCAGGAGATATTATAACTTTAAACTTATATGCTATTATATTTATAGTAGATTATTATGCAGCAAAGTAAATATATTAACCATCTTTAGAGAAATAAATATTATCAATAGAAAATCCTAAAGGAATTTATTCATTAGGCCCAAATACTCTCAATTAATTAGTACTTAAAATTTATTATTATGTATCATTAAATTAATATTTGATCTGCATGGTCGATGGAGCTGATTTTGTGTAAGAATTGACATTTATTTCAAAAATTGAAAGACCATCTGCGTCTATACCTGCTAAGAAGTATTTATTATTTGAAGAAATAGCACATCTCCATTTAGAAGCTGCAGTTCCTTCTATAAAAAATTGTGATTGTTAAGAATTGAATAAATTTGGAATATTGTTAAAAAGGGAAGGTTTCTATTTTTAATAAATAGCCACTGATAAAGAATTAGAATAGTAAATAAATTGATTGTCAAATGTTGTGTTAGAAATCACATTTTATTTCGGAGATAATGCTATAGAAAAAGACTATCCAGTTAATTAAAGCTGCTAAAAGAATTGTGGATTCAAAGGATCTTAGATATTATATATTAATATTCCCAATGATCTTGCTCCTACATATAAGAACTAGTCATCTAAACTCAAACCTATAGAAGAAGTGTATCCTAACGTGCTTCCTAGATTAGCAGGCACCATTTTAATTAATTCTTTTCAAATAAAATGAAAAATATTAAGAATTGGAATATTTTTATTATTAAGCAGTTTATTTAATAAAATAATCAATTTTCTTTTTATCTTTAGATTTTATTCAAAAATTATGTATTGGTTCATATAAACACCAACCTAAGTAATTTTTATTAAAGTTAATTCATTCTTAGTAATTAATCTGATTAAATTGAATGATTATTTCATTTACTTTAATAAATTTACTAATTTAAATAGAATAAGTAGATGAAAAAACATTCTTTTCAATAAATTCTTAAAAAAATATTTTATTTTTAGATTAAAAACCATTAAATTATTATTTTTTTCTTATTTGAATTGATATTAATGAAGATTTTTAATTTTTTTGTTGAATTTATGCATTACAGTTGTTTTTATTTTCTACATCATCACCATCTATAATGAGCTAACTCAAGTCATAGATAATAAAAATGCCATTCCATCTATCAATAGTGAAGACATAATTATTTTTGCTTGTAACTACTAATTCTGTAAAGCTTGTGGCTGCTAGTTTAGTTAAAATCTTAGTTAAACTGACTTTGAGCTGATTATTTTGCAGAGACTTATCTATTCTGAAGACCAACAACCCTTCGAAATCAGCAGCAATATAAAAAAATCGATCATCAGGAGGCATCGCTCCTCGATTAAAGAGAAATTAATATTAAGAATAATCTATAATCCCAAGCTATATAGGATTTATTATATTCCTTGAGTCGTACCATTTTAAAACCCCTAAATAACCAACAACAAACATGATTTCTTCTTCTAAATTAAACTAAATGTCTATTATGGTCATATTTTCTACATTAATTGAATTAATCATCTTAATACTAAAGTCAATTTAGTCTAATTAGAAGATGCCTACTTGCCCAACCATTCCTAGAAAGATATACTAGCCATTTTTTGATATTTAAACGCATTAAATATAGCTTTTATCAGGAGATTAATGAATATGTGTGTTAAATTTATTGTCAATTATCATGATTCCAGCATTACCTAGAGCAACAATTGCTATTCCAGTTTATTAAGATACCTTTATCCTACTTGAAGTTCCATTTATGCTATGAACATCAAAAGATTTGTATGGAATTGAATTATAAACAAATCCTACTTGTTGGTTTTATCCAAAGACATAGGTAAATATGAATTAAATAAATAAGAAAATTACTCTCATCCCAATGATAATAAAATTAATTAAATTGTTTTTTTAATTGCTAAAAAAATATCTAATTTGTAATAAACAAATAAATAATTGTGCTCTACCTTATATCAGAATTATTAATTAAATATTTAATTTTAATATTATTTGCCATATTTATATTTATAAAACAATAAAATAAATTATTTTTTTGCTTAAATTTTATACAAAATTAATAAAAAAGTTAATTAATCCATCCAAGTAAATTGTAAGTAAAACAAACTGATTTAAATTTATCAAAAATTAAATTCTTTTCTAAAATTATTTCATGAAATAAATATGAAAATAATTTAACTACGAAAAAATAATATTTATTAAATTATATGTAAAGTTTTTCATTGCAAATTATTGTTTCTATTATGTTTAGAAATATGATCAATTTTTTATTTATTTAGTTATTAATCATATAAAGATTGTGATTAACCGAGTTAATCTCTTTCATAATCCTATTAATTTTATCTGTCTTGCAATATTTATTATTAAATAGATGGCATTAGGCTATCTAGTTTAAGATTATGTATAGGACTCTTTTCTACACAACTAGGTCTGTGCATGAAAATGGGAGGAGAAACTAAATCTTATTCATATTCAGTCATGGATTTTATTCCTTAATAAATGTTTTCATCTATTTCATCATAGTTATCATTGCTCTAATTATTGATTATATTTTAGTTTGGACTACTTTAAATTGATTTTGTATCTAAATTAATTTATTATTTTTTAAAGTATTTTGAATATTAGCTTTCTTTCATAATAGAGTTATTGTTGGTTTGATCATCAAATTAATTTTATTTAGTGTTTTATTATTGACTTAAAAAATTTAGCTTTACATCTGTATCTTTAATTATTTTATTTTATTTAATTTACTGATTCAAAAACTGAGTACCTATTTCACTTTTTATTTTAGATTCTCCAACTACATTCAAATGAAATTAGTAAGATACGAAGCGTGATTAGTCATAAACTCTAATTAAAAATCTATTAACATCAGATTTAGTAGGAATGCCCTCTAAAATTATTACTCCATTCTTAAATTCGTAAGACATCCAACTAGGTAGAGAAATATACTTTGAAATAGGAAGGATTTTATATTGCAGATTAAATAATTTCCTTAAGCTAAGACAAACACCATCTTCTATTTTTTCAAACGCCTCGACAGAAACAAGCTAGTTTTTCTCCAAATGAATAGATTCTCCACAACATTTTATGATATTTTTTGAACTGACAAAATCTAATCCAAGTGCATCTGCAAATAAAACTATTTTCAATTAAAATGTATAAATTAATTAATTAGTTTATCTTCTATTTTAATTTATTTATTTATTTTTGATAAAAAAGTAAAATAATAAAGCAATTTTTTTTCTTAAGTATTTTAAAATTATTCTTATAGAATAAAAAATGAATACCTTCATTATATTTTCATAATTTAAAATCATAGTAAAAATTTAGGGGAAACATAAGTATTTTAATTTATATTTACTCTCTTTATTTTTTAGTTTGATTATAATATCAATCTTCATTGATTGGATTGATTTAATTTATAAAAAATATATTTTTTGTATGAAAAATATGCACTTCATACCACATTTTTAAAATTTTTTGTGGGTATTAATTAATTAAAAATTTATATATAAAAATAAAAATAAATTAATTGAGTGCTATCTATAATTAATATTTCTTTATTTAAAAAAGGAAACTATAAAGTAAGTGAAAAAAATGTGTTAAAATAAGTAAATTATTTAAAATGTTACCTTCTTTAAGCAAATAAGGATTAATATCTATTGATTGTAGGTAACTAAGCTGATAATTTGGTATATCTAGATTTTGAGGAATAATTTCAAGGTCTTTTAGTACTTTAAAAATTTCATCTTCTATTAATGTTGTCTTAGAAAATGGAACAGGAACACCAAATTTGTCTAATTAATTAGTTGCTGTAATCTAAACATATTGTTTATACCAGTCATTTTATAGATAGTTTCCCGTTTCCAAAGAATATTTTTTTAGAAATTAGTATAGACTTAGAGTTTTCTTTTCATGATCTAATAAATACCTTAAGACATTTGCTTTTAAACAATAGTAAAATCTGGAGCCTTCATATTATAAATCTGAGGCATAATCTTCTATTTTGTAATCCAATAAATTATATTAAATTACTAGTTTTTAGTCAATCATTTAATTAAATAAATTCTCCATTTAGAATGTTCCATCTTCTATCTAAATTATATTTTTTTGTATTATGTTACTTTTGTTTTCCATATTTTTAGAAATTCCATTTTGCTAGATTTTATCTATTGACTAAATTTTCTATCTAATTTCTGATTGCTCCATATTGAAACTTCTATCATATTTATCTTTGAATATTTTTTTGAGCTTAGACTATTAATTTATTTTGTTTTTTTATTTATTAAATGCTTCCTTGTTATTATAATTAGAACTAAATTGAGAGTAAATCATTTCATTCAATTGTTTCTTAGCTGCATTTTAACTCTCTTTATCATCTACTTGCTAGCTTGTTAAATTATTATCTAAAAATTTAATTATATTTTCTTGATTTTTATTGATTTTTTAAGGAATATTTTAAGTTAAAACTTAAGAGTAAGTTACAATGTTTGAACTTCCTTCTATGCATTTAGATTTGTCTGGATTTTCAATATTTTGCTAAAAATTAATTGTTTTTTCGCTGTCAAGATTTAAAATTGACTTTTTTGTTAAGCTAAAATTTTATGCATTCTGGGTTTAGTTTTAATTTTTATTTGCTTACTTAAGAAATTTTTATAAAAATAAGTAAGCTATTTCATAATCTAGATCTAAAATGAGAATCTTTTTCCTATAAGTTTAATTCACATAAGCTGTTTCAGTTGAATACATTGTTTGATTTTTAAAGTAAAGATTCATAAAAACTGATCTTTTTTTATACAAACCAAATGCAAAAGCAATAGGACCAAGTACTTAAATTAGTATGTTTAAAACATAGCTGAAAGGCATTTTATTTATTTTTATATAAAAATTTTCATATTTCGTTGTGTAACCATTATTTACTTATAATCTTAGCTAAATAGTTTAAAATAAGTAGCTAGAGGGAGGACTACCAACTAAACGTAGATTAATGTTATCACATTTAATAAATGAATCAGAAGAGATAGGCACAAACTATCCACTTATTTGTTATTAGAACTAATATGTTAGTGGTATTTAATCAGGATCAACAAATGAAGCAATATCAAATTATATTAAAAAAGATTCTTCAATCGTTAAATCTGTTCCTTAATTATTCACTTGATCTTATAGTGTTTTTTGAATGATAATATCTGATTTGAGTTTCAAAAATTTTACTTCGCTTTCAACATTTAAATTTAAGTTTAAATTATAGTTAAAATTATCACTTATTTCAACTAAGATTTCTTGTGAAGAATTGAATGTTTTATTACTATATTTGCTTTTGTCAAAATAAAGCACTCCGTTGCTTAAAGCTTGATTGATATATTTAAAATCACCTTCTATTTTCATAACAGTAAGCTAATCATTAAAATACATAACTAAATTTGGGTAGATTTTCTAAATAAAATTATATTAAGAGTCTTCTTAAAAAGTAAAGCTTACAGTAATATCCTTCTAAATAGCTGAAATCATTTGAGATTTTTAATTCTGATTAAATTAAAGCGAACTAATAACATCAAAAACAAATTAATTATAAACACTACTTCGTTTAAATGTTTCAGTCACATATGATTAAATGTTAGCAATTCTATTAGGGTCAATATTAGTTCCTTCGAAGACTAAAGAGAGATCAATATATTATTGAGTGGTAGAGTCAAAATTGTTAGTAGTACAATTTGTTCCATCAATATAACTAGCTTATTTTAAGTAATTGAAAATTTATTTGCTTTCTTACTCAGTTGTAGTTAAGTCTGATACTTCAAAAATAAAAGAAGTATTATCAAGTTAAAAGCAAGTTTAAATTACTATTGTTAAAAAGCTCTTATTCCCTGCTTGAGAATCTAAACATTCTTTAGGAATATTTAGTTGGAGCAAAACCTGCAAATTAGAATTGCTTTAATCAGATCTATCAACAATCATCCAAGAAGGTAAATCTTAAAGCACGAGATTTTAATAATAATAAATTGATCTAATTATTTAGTTAGGCTATCTGTATAAAACAACAAATCTAACTAAGTATTATAACCCAACTTAAAATGGATCACTTTCAGAAATTGAAGTATAGCTATTTAAAGAAATAGATAGCAACTATCTTTCAACATGAATTTATACTTAGCTTTATAAATTATAAAGACGTAAGTTTTATTAATTTATCGAAAATAAATAAGAGAGTCCTGTTTAATCTAAATATTAAAAAAAAATCTTAAAAATGGTTTTACAATTATTAAATTAAAAATACTTTCAACTTTTAAAAAATAATTTCACTTTACATAAAAATTCAAAAAAATATTTTGAGATTAATTTTTAAAATTTAATAAATTATTTTTTAATTAAATTTGTTAACAAAAAGAAATTTTATTTATTAAATTCTTGATTGGTATTTTTCTTTAATGAAAAAAATATTTTTAAATCTAAATTAGACTTAAAAAAGAAATATAATCATTTAGTTTACCTATACAAGTGGTAACTGAATTTTATGATGGGATGGTTGATTTCATGATTACTCTTAAGTTAGATTTATCTGTAAGGTCAATAAGGGTTAGAGTACCTGCATCCATAGTAGAAATAATTCCATATTTTTCGTCTAATGTAAAGGAAATATAATTTGTCCAGCCTGAAGATACATAATGACCTATAACTACAATTTCTGGTAACTTTGTGGAATCTAATAAAATGAGACCATTAAAACCATCTAAAAAGTAAATTATTTAGCTTGTTTTAGAGCGAAGTAGCGTTTCACCTCCATTTGTTCTCCAATTATTTACCATTTTTGGATTTGCCATGTCAGAAGTATCATAAATAAATAAGCCAACATTTCTGACAACTGCTAATGCATGCTTTTTATCGTGTGATAAAACTGCACCGCAACAAGTTCCGATCACACCAGAGTTAGTGTACATCGAAATAACTTCGAATTTAACCATGTCAACGAGAGCTATTCCTACATCAAATGACATAACAGCATGTTATTCATCTTCACTAAAATTCATTTCTTCACAATAATAGACTTAATCATAGTGTAATCCTTTAACATATTCAAAAGAATACTCCCCATCAATAGATATATTCACCTTAAATTTGTATGCTATGACATTTAAAGTGGACTGCTATGCAGAAAAATAAATATATTGACCATCCTTAGAGAAATATATATTATCTACATAGAATCCAATAGGAATTGATTCGTTAGGTCCAAATTATCTAAATGAGTCTGTTTTTAAAATTTACTCTTGGCTATCAGAAAATTGATATTATAGTTTCATAGTTGAAGGAGAAGATTTTGTATAGGAATTAACACCAATCTGAAAAATACAAAGACTGTCAGCATCGAAAGCTCCAAGCAGATATTTATTATTTGAAGAAATAGCGCATCTCCATTTTGAAATAGCAGTTCCTTCAATAAAAAATTAAGACTATTGTGCATTGAATAAATTTGGGATATTGTTAAAAAGGGTAGGCAATTGTTTTTAGAATACAGCCACAGACAATGAATTAGAATAATAAATGAATTAATTATCAAATTTTGTATTGGCGATAACATTCTGCTTAGGAGATAAAGCCAAAGAAAAAGATTGGCCAGTTAATTAAAGCTGCTAGAAAAAGTTAGGATTTAAAGGATCTTAGATATTATATATTAGTATGCCTAAAGATCTTGCTCCTACATATAAGAACTGGTCATCTAAGCTCAAAGCTATCGAAGACGTGTATCCAATATTGTTACCTAAATTAGCAGGTACCATCTGGATTAGCTCTTTTTGAATAAAAATAAGAAATAAAATACTTATTTAAATGATAGTTTTTCCGTTTAATAAATGGTCATTCAATAATTAAATTTGTTAATAATGCGCTTCTAAAAAAGTTAGTTATAATTGAAATTTATGAATAGAAATTAAAGCCAGCTAACTTTTTATAATATTGAATTGGATTTGATTAGAAAAGAAATTCTTTGATTGTTGATTAATCAATTAATTAATTCTACTATGTTAAAATTCAATCTTAAATTGAGGGGATAAAAGCTTTTGTGCATTTTCATTTTTTTTGTTCATAATTTTTGTTTTAAAATAAAAATCTTTAAATAAAATAAAATATTTTTCAAAGCTTGCATAATTTTTATGAAGTGTTTTCAATTTTATATTGATTTAATAAATTTACATTAGTTTTTATCTTCTATATCATTTCCATCAAGAATAAGTTAGCTTAAATCATAAATAATAAAAATCCCACTCCATCTGTCAATAGCGAAGACATAATTATTTTTACTAGTCATAACAACATCTGTAAAGCTAGATACGGCTGGCTTGGTTAAGATTCTAGTTAAGTTGACTTAAAGTTGATTATTTTAGATTAATTTATCTATTTTAAAAGCAATTAATCCTTCAAAATCAGCAGCAATGTAGAAGATATGAGGATCAGGAGACATAGCTGCTCTGTTGAAAAGTAACTAGTCTTGAGAATAATCAATTGCACCTAACTCTATAATATTTGTTGAATTCCTAGCATCATACCATTTCATAACTCCTAAATAACCTACAACAAACATTATGTCTTCCTCTTAATTAAATTAAACATCAACTATAGTCATGTCTTGAACATTTATTGCATTAACCATCTTGATACTCATGTCATTTTAGTTTAATTAGAAGATCCCTAGTTTTCCAGTCATCCCTAGAAAGATAAATTGGCCGTTTTTTGATATTTAAATACATTAAATGTAGCTATTATCAGGAGATTAGTAGACATATGTATTAAATTTATTATCTATTATCATAATTCCAGCATTTCCTATTGCAACTACTGTAATTCCAGTTTATGGAGACACTTTTATTCTACCTGAAGTTCCATTTAAGCTCTAAACATCATAGGATTAGTATGGGATTGAATTGTAAACAAATCCTACTTGATTACTTTATGCAAGAACTTAGACTATATAAAATTGAATAATTTAGAAATAAACACAAAACTCTACTTTCATTTGAATATTTATTAATTTAACTAATTATTAATAATTAATAACTACTTAACTACCTATTTATTCATTTAATTAAATTCATTGAAAAAAATATAAATTTTGTAAATAAATATTATTATTATGATGATTTTATTCATTATCCATTAATTAATTTTACTAAATTATTTTAAAAAAATATTAAAACAAATTTTAAATTGTTATTTAATATTTTAAAAGCTTAAAAAAAAATCTAATTTTGAATGATAATAATCAATTTAAAACGAAGATCTATTAGATTTCATCAATTCACTATATACACTTTACATAATAACTACTTTGCAGATGAAATTTTCTACTTTATTTATAGATATATCACTAAAAAATCTTTTTAATATTTAGTAATTATTATTTAAAAATAAATTTAATCAGTACAATAAGTAGAAATCCAAAATGATTTAGATGAAAAAATTAAAAAATAAAAAATGATCAACTTCTTGGAATAAGAAAAGTTTGGAAACAAAGTACAAATCAATCAACACTGATCTTGGTAATAGATAATTTTACAAATTTACAAGAGAAAATACAAAATTTATTGTTTATTTATTTCCATATACATGATGAATTAAAATAATAAACTGAAAGTTGTAAAAGCAGAATTGATGTCAATTGAAAATAAAAAAAAATGAAAAACATTTAATGAAAATTTTTTACTATTTTTATATCAGGAATTAGGATCAAAAAAGTAAGGTTGATTTCAAGGGTGTACCCTATATAAGAATTTTGAAAGGGTTTATTAATTTTTAATTATATTGTTATTGGATATTCATTAACTTGAAAACAATAAAATAGATTTTCAATTATTTATTTATTGACTTACTAAAATATCATTTTTATAAATATTAAAATAAAAATAAATCTATATATCAATACTTTAGATTAATTTATA